AGGTAATAATGCCGAAGCCACATTGATCCAGATCCTTTGAATCAGAGGATCAGTGTCTTCTGATTTTTATCACTCGTTTCTGTCTCCAAGCATCGCTGGAGTTTTTAACCCATTACCATGCAAAATGAATTGAAGTACAATAAATAAATGACCAACTTTGTTAAGTCAGGGTTCAACGTCAGACTTTTACTTTACTCCGTTTGGGTAAGTAGGTCAGAAATCCTGTAGTACATTGTTACTTTACCTTTGCAAATTTTTTTTGTCTTTGCTGCCATGAAACGTTTTTCGGACACTTAACGTGCCTTTGAAAAACGCCCCCATTGTTATCGGCCTTGCTCTCAAATTTGCGGCAAACTGCGTAAGACAGAGTTGGGAGTTTCGCCCACATCCTGTTAACAAAATAAGGCACGAAGTCGATCAGTACTGCACATGTGCAACTCTCAACAGAGATGAGAGGAAAGTGAGATGGGTCATTCCTTCACTAATTCCATCATCAGGAAGAAATTATGAGTTTCATTCCTTTTGAGTTTTTTTATTTTACTACCCTGGACAATCCTTAACCCCTATATTCCACAGGGGCACACTGCGTTCCACCGCGGTCGCCGGAGGTGAACACGCCTGTTCTAGACAATGCTCCAAATTCATTCAATGTAAACATCATACAGCGTCAGTGAGAAGCTGATAAAAACTGACATGGATGAGGATTCAAAAACCTTAAATCTACAAACTGGATGATAAGGCTGAAAGACAAGTCTGAGCATTTGTATAAAAACTTGTACCCATGCTTTATAAACCCCAATGAAGTCCAGGACAGCAATGAAAGAAAGCATTTAATTTAACTTTTGTCCTTGTCCATGAATAAAACTCTTCTATTTATCCGTATGCTCAAACTGAAATCTCTCGTTGGCTGGTAAAAGTGTCTGGTGAATTTCAACATGTACCTGCCAGCGCGGCTGGTCAAGTAGAACAGCTCCTGCCTTTGGAAATATTCAAAAAAATAAATAAACCTCCAGTTTGGGTTTTTTTCTTTCTTTCCTGAGAAGCTAAACCCCGCCGAGTGGGACTCGAAGTGACACGGAGTCAAATACAAAATACAAAGCAGCCCCAAAGTGACTGTCTATGCACAGTGAATTATTTGAATTTTACACACCCACCAAAGACAGGCTGTCAAAACCCATGCCGGAATGGATTTTTCATACGGAGAGAGGGAGCGAGGGAGAGCCGAGGAGAATAAAAGAGGAGAGGAGGAAAAAAAACAGGAGGCGGAAAGGGGGCGAGAGACACCGGGAGAGACAGGGAGGAGGAGGAGAGAGCGAGGGAGAGGCAGTGAAGCGGTGCTGGCTTGCAGGAGAACATTAGCTGCACTGTGTAGCGCACCATAAAACCATTGACATTGTCGGTCTTGCTTTGTGGACGAGTATTATTGTAAAACACAGTTTTCTGAGGCGAGCCGGCCGCTATTGTTCTTGTCAGAGGGTGAAGCGAGGGCACCGCCGGCATAACTTATTTCACTTTTAAAGCTATACGGGAGGAGGCAGAGAGAGTTGGTTTTCAAATTAAACCACCGAGATGTAAGTCCAGAGATTGTATTACTTTTAGATTTGATCTCTTGATGCATGACTAGGAAACATATCGCTGCTGTCGGGGGGAGGGAAGACAAAAAAACAACAAAGATAAAAAGAAAGCAGACATCTGCAAGAAGAAAAGCAGGTTTGTTCTCAGGGAGGTCGGTGTACTTTGCTGATTATACAGCCAGGTTTAAGCAGGTTTCAAGAGACGGAGAGTCTGACTCAACCCAGGAACGATCATATCAACTTCCAGACCACGTAACAGAAACAAGTGGATTATTAGAGTTTAGGTATTTGCACAGTAAACCCGACTTTTAACAAAAATGAAACTTGGGGTAAATAGATAAGTAATCATCAAATATCACATGAGACTGAATCTCTGACTGAAATCTGACAAACTTAAAGACTAAACTTATGAGATCAAGTTGAATGCAGACGCAAAATACACAGATAACTCCTCTTCCTCGATGTAAGAAAACCAGAAAAATACACACAGAAAGTCTATATCTCAGCATTTGGTTCACTTCTGTGAAGAAAAGTAAATGTAAAGTTTAGTTAATTGTTTTAAAAGCATCCTTTGTTTGGAATACAGTTCCTGCCGTGTTCCTTTTGTATGAAACAAACCTTTGTCTTATAAACATGTCTAATAATTATTTTCAGATCTTGCCTGAACCTGAGAATCCACAATACCCTGACAAATGAAGGATGATCGATGCCCCCACAGCCAAATCTCAGTGTGAAAGCTCTGGTTATTCATACAAAGAGTTAGAGTAAAGTTACGTTCCTTCTCTTAAAATGCACCAATTCCATTCAGTTTCTCCCAATTTGCTTCTTCATAATTCACACAAAATTTGTAAAATAATGATAGTTCATACATAATTCATATTTATTATCATAAAAAAAGATTGTACACTGTTACCAGATGAAATGATTACTGCCTGGAGGCTCATACACTCTCTCATACAGCCATGGATGTATTAATGGAGGTTTTACCATTAGCTATCACAGAGTTTTACTGTTCCAGAAACTTTAACCTCTTCAGAGTTTACAGTCTTTTCCTGTCGTTGTTTTTCACTGTAACATCTACACACACTTTTTCAAATTTTTTTTTTGTTCATCCCTTTACAACCTGCTGTTTGTCATTTTTACTTCATTACTACGTGAAAGTGTGATTATTTCCCATCAAAGGGGGGCGTGGCCTTGGTGCTATTGGTATGACATCATAATAATACCAGTGTGACAGCAAAACAACACACACACACTGTATTGATCACAGACAAATACAGTGAAGTTAGTTGTTTGTGTTTTTTTTTGTGTTTTTAAAAAAAATCTAAGGCAGCTTTTCATTGGTCAGTCAGACACACACACACACACACACACACACACACACTGCTGACCTCTCCACTCTGCTGTGTCTCCTATTAACAGAACAGAGACCTTTGGTGGAACGATCTCTATCTGCAGTGTGAGAGAGGTTTACGAGGCCACCAATCACATCACTTCTTCCTCTTTCTTTCCTCTTTCTTCTCTTATCACTTCCTCCTCCCCTTCAATCACTCTCTCCCTTTTCTTTTTCCTCCTACAACTCTCTTTTCTCTCCCCTTCTGTTAAATCCCTTCTTCCATTTCTCTCTCTCTCTTTATATTTAACTCATTCACTCCATGTAGTCATCCTGTCCTAAAATCCTTTCATCCCTTTTTTCTTCACCTTCATCGATCTACTTCTTGCCATCCTCTCTCCTCCCTTTGTCTCCCTCCCTTCCTTCATCCCTTTCCTGTTTTTCTTCCCTCCATCATATCAGTCTCTCTTTCCCTGCATTTTCCTCTCTTTACACCTTATTCTCTCTCCCCATCCTTAAATTCTCCTCCCCTTCTCTCCCTCTGTCTTACATCCTTAAATCTTTACCTCCGTCTCTCTCTCCAGTAATTCTCTTTTTCTCTCTTCAAGTCTCACTCCCTCTCTCCTTCCCTTCGCTTCTTTCCCTCCATCTTTCTTCTCTTGCCCTCTCTCTCCTTCTTCCTTCCTCACATTTTCCTGTCTATCTTTCCTCCTACAACTCTCCCCTTCTTTCCTTAAATCCTTCCTCCTTTTTTCCTCCATCCATTCCACTCTCTTTTTACATCTTACTCATTCCCTATCTATAGTCGTCCTTAAATCATCCTTTCATCCCTCCTTTTTACTTCACCTTCATGCATGTACTTCCCGCCATCCTGGCTCTTCCTCCTTCCCTTTTCTTTACCTTCATCCCTCTCTCTCCCTTTCCTGTCCTTAACTCCTCTCACATCCCTTCATTTTTTCTTTACCTCATTCTTTATCCCTTCCGTTGTCCATCCCTCTTTATTTCTCTTTTTACAAATCATTCCCTCCTTTCTTCTTCAGTCTTACATCCTTTCCACCCTTCCATCCATCCCTCCATCCTCCATCCCTCTCTCTCTTTCTGCAATCTGTCCATTAGTTCCAGATTGATGCCTTCAGGTGTCTCGCTGTCATTTAGGAAAGTGGACGAGTAACTGCACTGCATCACACACAGAAAATCAACCATACACACATTAAATAAACAGCACAACAGTAGACACACACCAACTACACACACACACACACACAAACACACTCACATAATCGCACACACACACTCTGACGCACAAGCAGAAATTCAATAACCCGAGTATAAACACAGTCGCTGGCTTGAGCACACCGACACACACACGAAAAGACAGACTCATGGGTAAACGCACACTGAGATGCACATAAACAAGTAAACAAACACACACACAC